AATATAATGCTCTGCAAGCAGTTCCTGATCGGGAGCCACAGAAGTGGCCACCCAAGCAGACAGCTGCTTGCAGAGGAGCCCTCGCCTAGGCACGTCAGGAGGCATCTATATGAACTGACGGACGAAGTCCAGAGGTTCATTAAGCAACCTCTGGACCCGACAGCCTACAGACAGGCCCTGAACGGCATTCACAGGGACTCAGTCTCGAGTTATGTAGACTCTAGACCTGTGAATGCCGTTCTAGGCATACCACCCCCGGACATAGACGAGACGGAGCTTCATATGCCTCGGGAGACACGCACAACACTCGCACAACTTCGCTCCGGCTACTGCAGCAGGTTGAACTCCTACTTGAGTAGGTTGAATGAGCATGTGCCGAATGAGTGTCCGGCATGCGGAGAGACCCCACATGACTCGAAACATCTCTTCGCATGCCCGGAAACCCCGACAACCCTAGCGGCCTTGTCCCTGTGGACAAACCCCACAGAAGCTGCACGCTTCCTAGGGTTGCCGGAAGCCGGAAGTGGAACTTGACGACAACGACTGAGATACTAACCGTCCTGGGCGGGGTTGTTGTAGCCGCTACAACAACAACAACAACAACTAGGTATATACCGCTGGAGCTTGGCGCAAATCTGACTGACTAAAGGATGAAGGCCTCCGGAAAGTGAATGGTAAAATGGTAAGCAGAAAAATTACCCTCTCTTACTTGCTATCTGTATGGGTAGCGTGGCTAGTTCGATTCCCCTGCTCCTCTTGATTATTCTTTCTGTAGCCTCAAAACTTCTGTTAAATGGGTGTTGCTTATAATTGAACGGCCGAAACTTAACGTAACTTAATGCCACTTCGAAATCTGTTTCATATTCTCAAGTTCTACGTTCTGTTAAGTTAAGTCGCCATAATCAGGCTTTAAACCACCGTCAAAGTTTTAATACATAAACTTGCTTTTTTTTTTTACCGGAAGCTAGTGGAAAAGGTGAATGTGAAAAGGCTAAAAAGTTGCCACGTATATTATAGATATGCATTGCGATTGTATTGCGCAATATTCTGCCTCAATTCCTTGCACTGACAAACAGCTGATCGACTGTAATAAGTTTCTGATTGGAATGCAACAAAGGCAAGAAAAAATTTTCGCTAGCACAACAGATTGTAAAATAAATAAATTTTCACCGTAGGAAAGTAATACGGTAATAAAAAACTCCAAATTGGGTAAAAAAAACGACATGGCCGCGGTGGAGTCCAATTTACCGGAGCAACTGGATAATGAGGAGGTACGTGAAATACTCAAGAACACCACAGATCTGCGACAGTATTCACGTCAAATTGAGAAGGAGTTCAAAGATGTGGAAAACAAATCTATTGAAGACTACATTGCAGAATCTCAAAATATAGCTAGTCTTCATAATCAAATCGGTGAATGTGATGATGTGCTGGAGCGTATGGAAAACATGTTAATGAATTTTCAAAGTGTGCTTAGTAATATAAGTACCGAGATTACGCAGCTGCAAAAGAAGTCTGTAGCCATGTCGGTGCAACTAACAAATCGGCAGTCGGTGAAAGCGCAGCTATCGCAATTCATTGAAGATATGGCGGTGTCGGAAGAGATGATTGCGGTTATTATGGAAACGCCGGTGACGGAAAAAGACTTTGGCACGCAATTGAATGTGCTGAATCATAAATTGTCATTGGTGAAAGAGCTGAGTTTCAAAGAGTCCAAAGCGACAGGAGATGTGAGTGAAGTATTGCATAAATTGCGCTTGAAAGCTATGTCGAAAATTAGAACATACCTGCTGGAACAGATTTACAAATTCCGCAAACCGATGACAAATTACCAAATACCACAAAATGCAATGCTAAAACATAAATTCTTCTTCGAATTTATTTTGTCCAATGAGCGACAAGTAGCTCAAGAAATTTGTAGTGAATACATCGATACGATGAGCAAAATCTACTACAGCTACTTTAAGGTAAGTGGAAAAATATGCTATA